AGGCATCAAGTTCAAGTCCTGACCCTGACTCGTATGGGCTCTGGGACCTCGGCCAAATGCTAGTAAAAGACTATACTTGCTGATCTCCGAGCAAATTAATGTAGCTGCAAATTCTTCACAGCGTCTGTCATCAATAGGGGAGCTTCTCCAACCTTTGACTCTTAGCTGGTCTGTGACCTGCTTTGACTAATAGAATGTAGCGGACCCAACATTGTGTAAGCCCCCAAAGCTCTGTGGCTTCTGTCTCCACCTTCTTGGAATGCTTCCCTGAGACCGCAGTGTGAGGAAGCTAACCTCGACAACTGGAGAAGCCACGTGGGGAAAAGCAAGGCAGAGCCCACATCTGGCATCAACTGCCAAATAGACAAAAGAGGCCTTCTCCTACCTTCCAATCCAATGACCCACCGGCATCCAGCATTCTGAGTCCAGGCAAATCCAGCAGATGCACCTTGCAAACCTAGAAAAGCATGAAGAATGAGCCGTGTTGCCTTGAGCTTTGGGGTTGTTTGTTACATAGCAAAGGCTAACTGAGTCCCTATTTTCTCGTTCAAGTGAGATGAAAATGCCTACCCAGCTATTTGTTTGTTTATCCAACAAAGCTATTAATGTCCTACTATGTAATATCCATAGAATATATACTCACATATAATGTTGAGAATCAAATGAGATCATGGATGTTAATATACTTGGTAAATAGTAGTTTTTATTATTGTTACTAGCACCCCCCTTTCTCTGAGCTCCCACATTTTCTAAGCACTTAAATTCCTTCGTATTTGATCCTCTCAGCAGCTCAGACAGTATCGTCTCCATCCCTCTCTGATAGAACTGATCCTTCTATTCTCATGAGAAGACAGGTCTGCCCTTAAATAAAGGAGCTCTGGGACTTTCTTTTTGCAGGACCAGAAATTCACTCCTATGGGGAACACAAAACCACTGCTAAGACGGAGGGCTTTCCCATCACCATCCCAATGCAAGCCTTTCAAAAAATTCTTCAGTAACAACAATAATTGCTAAAATTTATTGAATACTTACTATGTGCCAGGTGCAGTACTCAGCTTTTAGTGAATTGCAGTCTGCCTCAACAGCACTCTGAGGCAGGTACTATGACTATCCCTAGTTTGAGGTAAGGAAACTGAAGCCCCAGCAATATTAAGAAAGTTGCCCAGGACAGATGGTGTGATGTGGCCCAGGCTTCCATTCCTGGTAGTCTGAGCCCAGACTTAACCACCGCCCTGGCCAAACTCACTTGAATGTCCCTTGCCACGTTTCACTGTGACTCCCAATACTTGTCCAGGACTAAAAATATATATATAAACATATGCATATATGTATACATATATAGAGAGAGAGATTTTTAGAGACAAAGAGAGAGGGAGGGAGAGAAACATCTACATCAGAGTAACACATCCATCGGCTGCCTTCTACACGCCCCCTACCAGGGTCGAACCTGCAACCCAGGCATATGCCCTAACTGGGAATTGAAACAACCTTTTGGTGCATAGGATGATGCCCAACCAACTGAGCAACACCAGCCAAGGCAGAACATGTCCTTTGGAAGCTGCGCTCATTGGAGGTCAAGTCCTATGGTCTTGGCCAAGCCATCTCTTACTCTAAACCTCTGCCCCCCAGCAGGGAAACTATGCAGGTTAGACCAGGTAAAGTCGAAAATCCCTTCCAGCCCTGAAAATTAAGCTGATAAATTCTTCCCCAACATCTCGTTATAGTCTGAGTTTTATTCTCTTTCCTACTAAGGCAACTAATGAGCATTCAGGGAGGAAAAGAAAAAGCAGATGCTATAAGTGTTTTTTAACTAACATAAGAAAATGAAAGGAGAGCAGAAGGGATTCTATTTATATCTCCCTCGAGGATTAGGCCATAATCTAAACCATTTGATTTTTTTGAATGCATTCAGTCAGAGCTGAAAGCCTGTAGGGTGCTCTTTAAGCCTGACACGGAATGAAATAATTCAATTAAAATAGGCTGAGGCTTTTGCAAGGTATTAAACGTCCTGAAGAGAAGATTTAGGAAGTCCTCAAAGCAGTGTTGGGGAGACCACGGGAAAGCGTAAGAGCTCATGTGGGGTCTTTCTAGAGGTAAGTTGCAGGCAGGCTGCTTGGAAAGGAGGCCGTCAGCGTGGGAGAAAAGACTGCCCCAAAAGCTTCCCAACAGCTCGAAGGATAAAGCCTATCCTTCCATAGCACGAAATGAAGGTTAATAACAATCATTAACGAGAACCACTCACGAGCGCCCTCTGTATTCCAGGCGGGGTGCTGACCTGAGCCCTTTTCAGAGACTCTTATAGTATTTACAATGGTATGAGGTTAAAAATCAAGCCCAGTGCTTGTTGGGAGGCACATATATGTACTAAAATTGGAATGATACAGAGATTAGCATGGTCCCCGTGCAAGGATGAAATGCAAATTCGTGAAGCGCCCGTGTTTTTCTGTACTGACTTGTACTTTTTTCTTTATATAAAAAAAATACTATAGTAAACAATTTAAAATTTATAAAAAAATCATTAAGCCCATTTTATAGATAAGAAAACTGAGATGCCAAGAAGTGCCCCGACTTGCCCCAGGTTACCCAGCAAGTTGTACGTTTCAGCACGATGCCACTTAGAAACGCAAGTGGCATGCTACAGCAGGAATCTGAACTGGGAGAAGCGTGTTGATACAAAGAAATACAGACACAGTCTCTTTCCTCAGGTGCATACCATCTGGTCAGCTCTCATGACTGACACGCAGACTAAATTACAAATGATTGAGGTCAGATCCAAACCTGAGAGCAGGTTTTCACATGAGCAGAGGAGAGCAGAGCAAATCAGATGACAGGAAGTGGAGGATGTGAAACGGGCAAAAGGAGGGTCACCAAAAAGTCACCCTTCACATGTCTGCCCAGGACAGGCCCAGTGAGCTGCTTTCTTTCCTTTAACACTGATAAAATTCTTGGCTGCAGTACCAATGTTGGGGAAGAGAGGTGGGGGGAGGGGAGGGAGGGTTCTGTCTCACACCAAGCACTTCCACGCCGGCCTGGCATTCTACAGTTCAACTCAGTTTGTCACTATGCACCCAGGGGTAGCATCGGATTCCACAGGCTAAGGGCTCAGTCCCACATCAGGGCCCACCCCGTGTCCCCACTTCAGATGCCAGTTGCAAGCCCAGGTTTTCTGACTGTCCAGCTAAGATTAGAGGTTCCAACAACCTCCTCCTTAAACTCAGTTAATTTGCTAGAGCAGCTCACAAAACTCAAAGAAACATTTCACTTACTAGGTCACGGGTTCGTTATGAAAGGCTAGAGCTCAGAACAGCCAGGTGGCAGGGTGCAGTGTCCATGCTCTCTGGGCACCTAACAGTCCCCGAATGTCCACATGATCACTGACCCGGAAGCTCTCTGAAACGCGTCCGTGGGGTTTTTATGGAGGCTTCGCAACAGGCGTGAAGGATGAAATCACTGGCCCATTGGTGAAGGAGCTCAGTCTCTCCCACCTTCTCCTCCACGGAGGTCAGGGAGGAGGTGGGCCTGAAAAGTCCAGCCTCTAATCCAGGTGGTTTCTCCTGCCAATCAGCCCCTGGCCTTAGGTGCTTTTCAAAGGTCGCTCATTTACATAACAAAAACACCTTGATCGTTTTCATCACAGGAAATGTAAGGGTTTTAGGAGCTGTGTGCCAGAAATGCGGACGAAAACCAAACATGTACAGGGTGTCCTCCAAAAATATACACACACTTTGAACAATTATTAATTCCAATGGTTTAAATCTGAAAAGAATGAAACATTAATTGAGCTATCAGCTGTTAAATTGTGTGTACATTTTGGGGGGACACCCTGTGGTTATTATAAATCACAATATCACACTGGGCATTCCATGGGATTAGAAGCTGTGTCTTTCTTATTCAGCTCTAAATAACCAGTATCTGGCACCTACATTTTGTTGGGAGAATGGAAGAGTACCTTAAAAAAGAAAAAGAACATATATAAAATTAAGTAATCCAAAGAACAAGAAATCTCAACTCTAAATCTAACCCTTCTCCCCTGAAGGCAGAGAGAGAGAGAGAGAGAGAGAGAGAGAGAGAGAGAGAGAGAGAGAGAGAGAGCAGGCTGGGGCACGTGGAGGAGGTGAGTGGGAAGGATCTGAGATATCTATTGGTTCAGATGGGAGACTCCGACATCTGAAATGACCACCTTGAATTGCTACTCCTAGGTCAGTACCTATGAAACTTGAGTGTCATTAGAATCACCAGGGGAGCTTGTTAAAACGCAGATTGCTGACTCACCCGGAGTTTCTGATTCGGCGGATCAGGGAAATTTTGCCTTTTTAACTAATTCCCAGGTGATGCTAATGTTCCTGGTTCAGGGTCTAGCACTTGGAGAACCGATAACAATCAACCTTCATTGCACATTAGAATCACCTTGGGGTTTATGAAAACACCCAGGCCGTACCTCTGACCAAATCCGTCATACTCCCTGGGGGCGGGACCAGGGTATGAGTGTTTTTGAAAACTGGGACCAGCTGATTCCAATGTGCAGCCAAACCAGAGAGGAACTAAGTAGGCGAGCATATATAGGTTTGAAGTTCATAGGCCATGAAAATAACAGCTAATATTTATTGAACACTTACCATAAAACACTCACTTTGCTGAGTAAATTACTGCATGATCCCATTTAATTCACATAGGAATCTTTCTAGTAGGGACTTCTATTCCCATGTTGCTGATAAGGAGAGTCAGAAATGAAGTAATTTGTCCTAGGCCATAAACTGGTAAGTGACAACCTGGGAATCCAGTTTATGTCTCTATCTGCCTGAAGACTCCTAATCACTAGAGGGCTGTAGCCTCTTAGTGCTCTGTCTCTGCCTTAAACCTTACTTTGTTGAGTCCAGATGCCAACAATCTGGGCTGGAACAACTGGAATCAGCTTCATATTTGTCGATAGATGATAGATAGATAGATAGATAGATAGATATCTGCATTCATAGACACATACATAAATGAACAAATGCAAATCACAGAATGGTTGTTTTAATGAGTTCAATACTTTTCTTAAAATCCAGCCGCTGTCCTGCCTATACTCCTTTGATGGCTCATAATCACTTCAAAGAAAAGTCCAAACCACAGTGTGACATTCAGGTTCCTTGATGATGGGCCCCTGCCTTGGACTCTCCAGCCCCTCATTCTTCCTCCTCTGTTCTCACCCATCTATTTCCAGTTCCCCAAATCCAACCATGCACCATGCCTTTGTCCACGTTCTTCTTTCTCCTTCCTCCCTCCTTGTCTGCTTGGAGATCTTCTTTCTGCTCACCTTTAGACTCAAGTTGACTATCACCTGCTATCCATAATCCTCCCCAGAGCCTTCCTCTGAGCAGTCACAGTGGCACCTGTATCCTGTTCCATTTTATTGTTTCTATTTTTCACTCCCTCCTATACCCTTAACCCAGTGGTCGGCAAACTGCGGCTCTCAAGCCACATGCGGCTCTTTGGCCCCTTGAGTGTGGCTCTTCCTAAGCCTTAGGAGTACCCTAATTAAGTTCATAACAATGTACCCTACCTGTATAGTTTAAGTTTAAAAAATCTGGCTCTCAAAAGAAATTTCAATCGTTGTACTGTTGATATTTGGCTCTGCTGACTAATGAGTTTGCCGCCCACTGCCTTAACCTGAAGCTCAGATTCCCTGGCCCATTGCTATCATCACTCCCTCTTGCCCAGCCTTTTAAACAGAATCCTGGCTTTGTCCTGAGAATGAGACTTTCCCTGAAATTCCATCAGGTAAAGACTGTTCACTCTCCCATCCACTAGGCCTGGAGATAGGGTAGTATCTTTCTTCCTCTCCTCCAGAACATTCTCCTTCCTTCCCCTGTAAAACGCCAACAGTTTTTAATCTCATGTTACCAGATTACACCACCCACCATCCCTCCCTTTACAGTCCTACTCCCAGCCTCCCACGCTTCACTTCTGGGATATTTATCTTCTGGCTCAATGTCCCTCTCTCTAATTGTAGTTCTGTCTTCATTATTGGTGATTTCAAGTTCTACTCTTTTGGGGAGGGGGGGTTTAAAATGTTTATGTTCATTTATTTTAAATAGTCAATATAGTCACATGATTCAAAATTTAAAAGGAACACCTATGATGTTACCTCCCCCCCCCAAAAAAAATCAAACCTTAATCTGAACAAGTCTCTATCACTACCACTTTATAGAAAATACAAAAAAACAGCTAGAGCATGTTAAAGGATGCCAAGTGAATGCAGTCAGCAACATCCAGAATATTACATTTGACCCTTCCAATGTCCTGTTCCCTCAGCTCCTTGATTTTCCTGCCTCCAATGAGTTTGTTCTCCATCCCACTTCACCGGTCACTCCCATGGCCTCACCCCAGACCTAGAACTTGTCATTGCTATGGAGGCCCAGGGCAGGCTGTCCCAGATATCCCCCCATGACATACTGATTACTGTGAATTAAAGTTACTTTAAAAACTGCCAGTGCAAAACTGCCATCTGACCTCTCTCCATCTGTCACCCTGAAAGCAGGAGGTAAATCTGCCATGTGCAAGGTGCCCTCCCTGCCCCTGGAGGCTGAGACAGACACCCTTCTCACCTGAGTGAAGGATCCAGGCTCAAAAAGTCGGCATAAATAAGCCTTGTTACTAATATACTACCCAAGCCCAAACTTTGTGTAGATTCCTACTCATGGGCACCCAAGTCCAAGTATCCTGTCAGTTCTTCAGAAATGTATTTTATCTTTGTCTAAAACACATAAAAAGTTGGCTGATTCATCACTTCAAGGAGTATCATCTCTGATCTCCCGTGTGCACACACTCAACTGTTATTCTTCTGTTAACCTGGCCATGTGTCCATATTATTATCAGTCCAGCCATAAGAGCCCAAGAAGGGAAGAGGAGGGAATTCTCTCCAAAATCTCACTTTCAAGCATCCTTCTCTCCAAGTGAGTACATGGCACTGGGGACAGAGGGAGAGACAGAGACCAGAAGCTCAGATTCCCTGGTCCATTGCTATCATCACTCCCTCTCCCCCAACAACCTGGCCTCTTCTCACCTTGTCATACTCACTTGGCTAAACCACACATTTTCAGTTCAAACCAAGTCTCTGCCTGCTCTGCACTTGCACCCTGAGAGCTTAAAGGCACTGAAGAAAAACATAGCCACACCAACTGGTCACTGTGAAATCGTGACCATGAACCTCTAGCAGCTCAGACTCCATGCACTCTCCCACCCTCCCAAATGATTCTTCCATGCCTTATCCTATCATTGCAAACCTCAAATCCCCTTCCCCATTTTCAGCTCTTGACTTTGCTTCTCCAAATCGTAAGGAAATAAAGGCAATCAGATAGGAACTTCCACAAGTTCCTACCTTCACTTCACTCTTCTGCATCTGTGCCCAGGGTCTCACAGCCCCTCCCATGGCTGTGAGGTAGGACTCCGGAGACCGTCCCAT